GACTGGACTTGTAGTGATCCTCTTGTTTTCAGCCTCCCAACCACTGAGATTACAGGTACATGCCACCATACCCAGGCTCAATTGCCCTCTCAGCATGCCTTGGGGGTGAGGCTGGCATGGTACGTGGTGCCAGGAATTGAACCCCAGTCCCTAGGCTTTGCCCAAGCAGGCAATTTAGTCCCCTGAACTATCTGGCTGTCCCTAATAATTTCTTAGGTATGTTAATATGACTTTATAAGAAATGTTCCATTTCATCATATGTAAGAATGGGACTGCTAAAAAACGAGATACTAAATAAAGAGAATTATAAAAGAAAAAAATTGAAGTCTTCCACAAATGTATGTATGTGCAGCTATCTTACAGCCATAACTTAAAGAAAGCGTGGAGGTACAACATGCTTCCTGATTACATGGGTACACTTTGGTGTGGAGAAAGAACCTAGAGCGCACAGACTGCAGAACAAGAACTTTCTGCCCCTGTGTCTCTGTAATAGCATTTCACCCACTTCATGGATGCTGTACTCGAGGCGGGTGATCCAGGAGAGCTGACAGTTCCTGAGCCCGCATCTGGCTTTCGGGTGGTTGCAAGGTTGGAACCAGAAGGATAAGGCAGAGAGAGGTAAGGGAAGTCAAGCCCTTCCACAAATGAATGACTTTACATCTCTAGTCTTAATCAGAACTGAAGGGATAAGCCTCTCTGCTCCACAGTAAGTTATAAACTTTCACCCCTTCTGCTGCACTCCACTGTGTAGCCACATGATGTTGTTTGGCAACGCTTATTAAATTAGCCTCTGTGCTGCTGCCTATGGCTTCTTGAGAGACTTTTCCAGTTCTGTCTCTGGCTGAAGCATAATAGGAAGAGAGTTAATGATAAGAGCTCAAAATTAATGCCAACAATGTAAACCCAGTCATTTGTATTATAGGAAAATGCAAACCCCCTTTTAAAATGCTTCAGGTCTTCTGTTTCCATGGTCCTGGAAATCTGGAGATTTACATGGTAAGTATAATAGGAGCATCCTAGGCGCCGTAACAGCCCCATAAATATCTCCTCAGCAGAGCCGCATGTCTCCCCCTGGACACGAGGAGCTTTCTTTGAAGTCACAAGGCAGAAGTTGTGCACGTGGAAGAGGTATGCAACTTATTATTATCATTATTTGCCATTGCTTTAGAAGCTTTTAAGTAATACTAGATTTATCACATTTTTCTTACCACAAATTTTAGTTTCATCTCATGTTTCTTCTGAAGCCTGAACCAATAAACTGGTTTGTCTTTGTAGTTGATCTGCCACAGTAGTTCCCATATTTTTCTGCCAAGAAGGCCTTTTAGAATCCGATTAAATGGGTGACATGACATTTATAGGTGCAGAGATTAGAACACCTGGAAGAAGGCCCGGGACTTACCCGGTCTCTTGGGGACCCTTGAGTGCAAAGCACACTGGTCCTTGTTGGATGGTCTAACTCAGCCAGCCTTTGGCTGATGTACCCTGCTGAGTCTACTCTCAGCTGGAGCAACCCCTTAAGGTTACATTGCCTGTTGTAAGGCAATTGTAAGATAGTGTGTTGCTGCACATAGTAAGTGCTCAGTAAATGTTTGTATTCTTGATTTGATTGTGCAGAGGACCTCAAGTAAGGTCATTGTGCATTTAATGTTCTGCATTACTTAACATGATAAGAGAAGGGAAGGAGAGTCGCAGGACCCTTGTGTGCTCCATTTCCCTCTTGCTTTCTATCTGCACACAATAAAACCACCAGACAATGCTCACAAACACCTACATACACATGCACGGTATTATCTTCATTATTACAAGAATAAACTATGGTTATCATTAAGAAAATTAGTGAATACAAATAAGCTCTTCCTTACTACACAAAATAACCAGTGTTAAGTTTTAGCTTAATACCTCTTCATTTCTTCATCTTAATACCTCTTTCCACACTGTTTGTACTTTGCAGTTAGCAATAACTTGTAGTTTTGCACACAGCTCCCTACTGTGTCCAAAGATCCCTTTGAAATGATTTTTTAAAATTTATGTTAAAATTAAAGTCAAGTTAGCAATGGAAAATAAGAATTAAAGTCATAAATAAACTAGGAGAGTTGAAGAATTCCAATCCCTAGAAAAGGCCTCTGACAAGTGGGGAAGTTACAGCCAAGAAGACAGGAGCCCAAATTTCAGGTAAAGGCTGACACCTTGTGAGTCTGTTCTCCAGATGACTGTAACTCTGAACTGGGTTGCAATGAGCCCAGGATCAGTCCCCAGATCTTCAGGTATGGCTGAGGTGTATGAGGCTTTCTCTCTGGTTGTTAAACAGAATAAGGAGTCCAGCTGGGTAATTTTGCCTTATCAAGGATATAGGCATTAAATCTGGGAGGGCTATTGGATGGTGGATTTAAGAGCATGAGGAACAGCTCCAAGTTCAGGGTAAATCTGAGCCTTCTTTATGGCGTGGAGGAAAAGGACAGAGCTATCCTGGAGTGGAAACCCTGAAAACCTTCACCCCACAGGAGGGCACCCCTGGAGTTGGCAATTGTTGAGGAACAGCAGTCTCAGGTCAGCATCATGGAGCCCAGAAGGCAATGAACATTTGCTCCTCAGTTGTGAGGGGAAGCATTCTGAGCCTAATTTTCTGTATCTCTCTGACTTTAAATTAAGTATGAAGGCTAAAAGAAGCGCTCAAAGACACATACGGACCGGTAAATTAGGTAATCACACAAGCTAGAAGAAAAAATTACCTGTGAAAAAAACAAGCAAAATCCAACAAAAAGCCAAGAAAGAAGAAAACAGGTGATACAAGCAGCTTTAGCATGGGGCTGGGGAGATAGATCAGTAGTCTAAGTGCCTGCTGGGCAAGCACAAGGACCCAGGTTTGATCCCCAGTACTGAATGCTGGGCTGGCCCTAGAATGCCAGATATGCCCTGCTGGCCCCCAAACCCAGCATGGTGGTGCATATACCTGTGATCCCAGCACTGGGGAGGCTGAGATAAAGGATCACTACAAGTGAGTCTGGGCTGCATAGCGAGACTCTGTACCAAATAAAAAATAAATCAAAGATTTTTTAAAATTAAAGAAAGAAGCTTTGGTTTGCTGATTTGACCCAAAAGGGATTGTAGAAGTCATTTACAGAAAATTAATTCTTTAGACAGAGGTGCAAGTATCATTCTTGTTTTGTATCAAAATGTTTCAGTCTCAGAATAACATTTTCTTCAAATGTTGCTTCAATTGTGCTATTTATTTCAGAAAAATTTATGTTCATGTAATGAGAATTTTATAAATATTTCATGTAGGTTTTTAAAATTATTATCATGGACCTCTAAACAAGGAATAGAAGAATAAGTTATGCTTCAAGATGCCTGTAATTTTAAAAAGAAGCTGTAATTGCTATAAATATGAATGTAATAAAAATAGGACTTAAGCAGAAACATGAAAAACCATTAAGCTTCCAGGCTCCTCACCTTTTCATATGTAGAAGCCAACTGATAATTCCTGGATTTGGGAAAAATGGATGCATAATTATAATTTTAAAATTACAGTAATAATTGTCATAAAGTTCAATGAGAAGAAAGGTTTGTGCTAACAGTGTTTAGACAAGACATCCTGTCTACATCTTGTCCTCTGAATAACTACTATGAAGACAACAATATGCAATGTATTAATTATTGTAACTGTCCTACTAACCTGTTTTAGAAACTGTTTCAGGGGGGTGGGGAGATGGCTCAGTGGAATAAGCGCTTCCCTGGCAAGCTCAAGGGCCTGAGTTCAATCCCTGGTTCTAGGGAAAAAAAAAAAGAAAGAAAGAAAGAAAGAAAGAAAGAAAGAAAGAAA